CGAAATATTCTCGAGCACGACGTAAAACCCAATTTCACCTCATCTCACCTCACATGGTATAGCTATGTTGAGAATGTGTTCGTATCAATCCCACAAAAAAGTAGTTCCGTCGCAAAATCATAATACATCAGAAGACCAAGGAAAAGGTGTTCCCAAAATCGTTCCTATTTGGGGAATCAAACACATGACTTCAGGGACAACAAAACACTTTAACCACTGAGCCATCCCACCGATACTAAATAATTCGAGTGGGCGTGTTGAGAAAAAAATTCATAAAAATTGTAAAAACATTCTTGAAAGCGTGTTTGATGTCTGTAAAAGGCCAGGGTTGTGATGACCGCGTCTGTAATCTAATGTCACATGTTCATTTGTCAAATATATGTAGAACATACCGCCCTAGATACATGCTAGTCAACAACGAGTTTGGTTACTATTACGATACAAGCACCTATTGCCCGAAATCGTGTGACTTTTAGTGATCAGACAACTCCTTCCATCTCAACGGAAAGGTGCCTGGCCAAGACGCAGTGCAATGAGTCTGTGCAGTAGGCGAACCTATAGGCTTCGTGCTTCTGAGTATGATAACACAACATACTGTGCTATATGTAGGTGATAGATTCCAAGTTACCACGGCAACGATGATGACAACCTACGACAAACAGAACAGCTTCTTATGTACCACATATCAAATGGTGTGTTTATCAACGTATAGGTCAGTCAGCTGATGAATGTCAGGGAATCCGAACATCGGTTTAAGCTTCAGCGAAACATGTTCAGGTACAATCTCTGTAGCTGCCATGTGGTTACAATAGTCGGGGCGTTGTCTGGAGGCATACCGACACGGGGGAATAAACCTTCACACTGTTGCAGAAGACACGTGCGTCGGGCACGTCGCTGCACACAGTCATACTAAGCACATGAAGGACACACATGCACAAGGTACATGACGCACATAGTTGCCCTATACATATGAGGGTACATCAGGCACAAGCTGCATACAGTTGTACAGGGCACATAAAACATACCGTTGCACAAGGCACGTGAGACATGCAGTTGCACAAGGCACAAGAGACGTACAGTTCTACAGGACACAAGCTGCATACAGTTGCACAAGGCACAAGAGACGTACAGTTACACAAGACACAAGCTGCATATAGTTGCACAAGGCACAAGAGACGTACAGTTGCACGAGGCACAAGCTGCATATAGTTGCACAAGGCACAAGAGACGTACAGTTACACAAGACACAAGCTGCATATAGTTGCACAAGGCACAAGAGACGTACAGTTATACAAGACACACGCTGCATATAGTTGCACAAGGCACAAGAGACGTACAGTTATACAAGACAAATGAGGCATATAGTTGCAGGGGAAACATGAGACGTACAGTTCCACAAGACACAAGCTGCATATAGTTGCACAAGGCACAAGAGACGTACAGTTATGCAAGTCACAAGCTGCATATCATTGCACAAGGCACAAGAGACGTACAGTTCTACAGGACACAAGCTGCATATAGTTGCACAAGGCACAAGAGACGTACAGTTCTACAGGACACAAGCTGCATATAGTTGCACAAGGCACAAGAGACGTACAGTTACACGAGACACAAGCTGCATATAGTTGCACAAGGCACAAGAGACGAACAGTTACACAAGACACGAGCTGCATATAGTTGCACAAGGCACAAGAGACGTACAGTTATACAAGACACACGCTGCATATAGTTGCACAAGGCACAAGAGACGTACAGTTACACGAGACACAAGCTGCATATAGTTGCACAAGGCACAAGAGACGTACAGTTACACAAGACACAAGCTGCATATAGTTGCACAAGGCACAAGAGACGTACAGTTACACGAGACACAAGCTGCATATAGTTGCACAAGGCACAAGAGACGTACAGTTACACAAGACACAAGCTGCATATAGTTGCACAAGGCACAAGAGACGTACAGTTATACAAGACACAAGCTGCATATAGTTGCACAAGGCACAAGAGACGTACAGTTACACAGGACACAAGCTGCATATAGTTGCACAAGGCACAAGAGACGTACAGTTCCACAAGACACAAGCTGCATATAGTTGCACAAGGCACAAGAGACGTACAGTTACACGAGGCACAAGCTGCATATAGTTGCACAAGGCACAAGAGACGTACAGTTCTACAGGACACAAGCTGCATATAGTTGCACAAGGCACAAGAGACGTACAGTTACACAGGACACAAGCTGCATATAGTTGCACAAGGCACAAGAGACGTACAGTTCCACAAGACACAAGCTGCATATAGTTGCACAAGGCACAAAGAGACGTACAGTTCCACAAGACACAAGCTGCATATAGTTGCACAAGGCACAAGAGACGTACAGTTCCACAAGACACAAGCTGCATATAGTTGCACAAGGCACAAGAGACGTACAGTTCCACAAGACACAAGCTGCATATAGTTGCACAAGGCACAAGAGACGTACAGTTCTACAGGACACAAGCTGCATATAGTTGCACAAGGCACAAGAGACGTACAGTTCTACAGGACACAAGCTGCATATAGTTGCACAAGGCACAAGAGACGTACAGTTCTACAGGACACAAGCTGCATATAGTTGCACAAGGCACAAGAGACGTACAGTTACACGAGACACAAGCTGCATATAGTTGCACAAGGCACAAGAGACGTACAGTTCTACAGGACGCAAGCTGCATATAGTTGCACAAGGCACAAGAGACGTACAGTTCCACAAGACACAAGCTGCATATAGTTGCACAAGGCACAAGAGACGTACAGTTATACAAGACACAAGCTGCATATAGTTGCACAAGGCACAAGAGACGTACAGTTCCACAAGACACAAGCTGCATATAGTTGCACAAGGCACAAGAGACGTACAGTTCTACAGGACACAAGCTGCATATAGTTGCACAAGGCACAAGAGACGTACAGTTCTACAGGACACAAGCTGCATATAGTTGCACAAGGCACAAGAGACGTACAGTTCTACAGGACACAAGCTGCATATAGTTGCACAAGGCACAAGAGACGTACAGTTACACGAGACACAAGCTGCATATAGTTGCACAAGGCACAAGAGACGTACAGTTCTACAGGACGCAAGCTGCATATAGTTGCACAAGGCACAAGAGACGTACAGTTATACAAGACACAAGCTGCAAAGTACATTTGCACGCATTTGTAAAAGGTAATACACACACAGTCACCAGACATTTGGGGGAAAATACTCTCTCTGACACACATTCCCAAGCAACAGAGATTCACATGTACGACAAGTGGTTTAGCCGACAGACCACACCATCATGAAACTCTTGTATTACATGTTTCCAACTACCAAAACCGGACTTCACCTTGTCGACCAGACTAAACAACGTATTGATGACTCCCCACGGGTATAACTTCATGATATGTAATATACCTACCGAGACGGTAAAATATCGATTAACGGGACACGATTCATATTCCCTATATTAAAAACACAAGTGATGAATTGTATTTATCTTAAAGCTATAATGTAGGATATTAAATGATGGCCGTACGTGAAAATGCAGAGATATAATCATGCCGAATTCTATGTGTATATGTTACCTTTGATATTATCTTTAAACTGACTTCAAACTAATTTGTCTCTCTTCGATTACTTATTCAATATTTTTGTTAATACTAACTGTCAAACTAATATCCAGAAGAGACTCCCCTGTACGTTTCTTCTACCTTTTATGACACCGTGCTTCTTAGAGTATTAAGAGTAAGTCCCCATTCTGTTTTTTTTATGAAGAATGTGTCCTAAAAGTCCACGCAAGGGTTTTTCAAATTGATCGTTCCGTGATCTCCGGTTAAGGATAATCTACATCAGTACGTTGTTCACAGTAGGCTGTTATCCATCCGACGTTAATAGAAGTAGAGATGACAAAACCTTATGGATGATCAACTTCTCGACACCCCTGACTTTGACACAGTGGTCAGCAAACTCCTTGACATTTCATCCAAAATAAACAAGTTGGTCATCCATAGAGTTTTGTCATCTCTATACCACCAACTTCTAGAATGCCACTCAAACAAATAAAGTTAATAGAAGTACATGACAATTATTAGGTATCTGAGACGATACTGCTTGAAGTTACGGTAACCGACAGGAATCACATCATTACAAGAGTATAGCTCCACTTAAATTGTTGAGTCATAAAAATACCTGAACCACTTCCATTCATCAGAATAATGTTTTGATTCATTTAGAATGTACAGGTAACGTTATAAAGGCAACCCCTACATAGTCTCAACCATTGCAAGGTAACTTTATTACTTTGATGAAGGAACAGTTTTCTTATAACATTGAAGCGTCATAAATGTGCCGTTAAATCTGAGATAGGGAAGCGCCAGACATTAGGCTTTGGGGTCATAGAATTTGTGATTTTGTCGTTTTCATTATAATTTTGTAGAAAACGTATGGCATTTATACAAGCCACTGCTCAGTATATCATATGTTTTGTAAGGACAATTTAACAATGACAGAGAACCAAACAGCAGTCTTAATTCGTCCTAGATCTGTGCTATAGACGACGTATGGACAGAACAATAGACGTTTGTTTCATTATTCCAGCTCTATCATAGGGATTCACCGAAGGGTATTAATTCTTTAACGATTGGCGACGAACAGTATTCATCCACGCTCATCAATTAGATATATCATGTATCAATACCAATAAGTAGATAAAGCATCTCAGTCATCAACTCGAGTCTTCCATTATACATGTATGAACGTTCCACGAGGCACAGATGACAGGTAGATATGGATCAGTACACTTGTATGGTATACTTCTTGATATTATGAACGAAAACGTTAATGCATACATGAGAACTTAGATTAACGTTATATGTTGAAATAAGCGCAACAGGTTGAGATCGACTGTCTGTGTTTCTGGAGAGGCGACCAGACACGGACTGTGAGATGTCGTGTTGTAGCAATGTGTGGCACTTACCGTCGACTGTTTGTAATCCAAGAGTCACCTGTAGCAGGCCCACTAGAAACACCAGTAGCCCCGCCTGGTGTCCCAATCCTGACATGGCTCTGTTCCCATCCACCAACGGCCCAGCACGTCCGCTTTATACTGCACGTCATGGAATATTAATCACGCCAGAGTGGGAACTCGCATGACAGTTCATTAGGTATGTTGAACATGTCTCTTGGGTGAAGCCGTTTCTCACTGTAGATATACACAAGGCGGGGAAGTCAGACTACAGCAACACGTCCGCAGTCAGTCAACGCAGGCACTCTTCGACTGTTTCTACTTGAAATACAAAGTTGCTTCGTCAACCGTCAACAACACCGGCCACTCAAATGGATTCAAGCCCTTAAAATGTCTCAGACTGACCTCCCTCGCCGGCCAGGGCTGTGACCAGTCTTCGTGACCAGTCTTCGCATACGCCAAGTTTGTTGTGTTGACGACAAGCGCCCAGTTGGTTAAAGATCCCGCCCCCAGCGTCCCTCGGCTTGCGGCGGCTCCACCAATACCCGCGCAAATCAATATAATCAAACAGGCTGCTGTCAGCCTTATGTAAGAGCTAGCTCAGCCCCAAGTCATAAAACCTTACTTGTACTAGTTTTTCAAAAGTAACACATAAATCTCAAATCAATACTTTATCTTATCTATTTTCACAAGCATGGCGATGTCTTTGTTGCGTTGTGGCCCATCTAACAACCTCTAGCGAGGCCGACAGGGGATTTGTGTTAAATACTTAAGACTGAGTGAATTGACAAATGTTGCTGCCACATGTTTCTTCAGTTAGCGGAGAAAGCGTCGGGGATCACGGCGAGATTACCGTCCACGCGGGCGCATGCAGGATGGTGATAGCGGGTAGGCTGATGCTTGGCGATGTGTTCTCGGCAGGCAACAACAGGAGTTAAGTGGAGCGTAAGTGCTACGAGAAGCCATGCTCCTTCTCTCGGAGTTAAGACGACCTGATATTGGAATCACAAGAAGGTTTTATTGCTTGAAGAGCATATCAAGTTAGATCTGTTATTTAATAGAGTGCATGACAGGATTCTCTGATATCTGGCTCAAGCTATATTGATGAAAACGAATAACATGAACTTGAGACTGACGGGCTGTAATGCAACATTAAAAATAAGTGTGAAACAAGGCGGGGATTGTGGGTTGTGGGGAGGGTAGTTGTTTGACAATGTTGTGGCTGTGAGGGCTGGTGTAGATACAGGTATGACTTTCGGCGGGGCTGAGATCAGTTGCTGTGACACTGGGGTGTAATGATTAAGGTAAGGGGTTTCATAGAGGCTTCGGGTGGGGGCGGAGGGTGTTGATGTTGAAACACTTTTCTGTCGGGTTTGGGTTAGCGTAGGATGTGCTTGATTTGGCCGGGGGTGGGGGGAGGGGGGGGCTAAAGTTTGGCGGATAGCTTTGTCAGTCACGTGATGAACATAACATTGTCAGTGACGTGGTGAATGTAACGTTGTCAGTGATATGGTGAATGTAACGTTGTCAGTGATGTGGTGAATGTAACGTTGTCAGTGATGTGGTGAATGTAACGTTGTCAGTGATATGGTGAATGTAACGTTGTCAGTGATATGGTGAATGTAACGTTGTCAGTGATGTGGTGAATGTAACGTTGTCAGTGATATGGTGAATGTAACGTTGTCAGTGATATGGTGAATGTGACATTGTCAGTGATGTTGTGAATGTAACGTTGTCAGTGATATGGTGAATGTAACGTTGTCAGTGATATGGTGAATGTAACGTTGTCAGTGATATGGTGAATGTAACGTTGTCAGTGATATGGTGAATGGAACGTTGTCAGTGATATGGTGAATGTAACGTTGTCAGTGATGTGGTGAATGTAACGTTGTCAGTGATAGGGTGAATGTAACGTTGTCAGTGATAGGGTGAATGTAACGTTGTCAGTGATATGATGTAACGTTGTCAGTGATGGTGATGTAACGTTGAATGTAACGTTGTCAGTGATCAGTGGTGAATGTAACGTTGTCAGTGATCGTGAATGGTGAATGTCAGTGATATTGTCAGTAACGTATGGTGGTGAATGTAACGTTGTCAGTTATATATGGTGATATGGTGAATGTAACGTTGTCAGTGATATGGTGAATGTAACGTTGTCAGTGATATGGTGAATGTAACGTTGTCAGTGATATGTGATATAACGGTGTCAGTGATATGGTGAATGTAACGTTGTCAGTGATATGGTGAAAGTAACGTTGTCAGTGATATGGTGACTGTAACGTTGTCAGTGATGTGGTTAATGTAACGTTGTCAGTGATATGGTGAATGTAACGTTGTCAGTGATATGGTGAATGTAACGTTGTCAGTGATATAGTGAATGGAACGTTGTCAGTGATAGGGTGAATGTAACGTTGTCAGTGATAGGGTGAATGTAACGTTGTAAGTGGTATGGTGAATGTAACGTTGTCAGTAATGTGGTGAATGTAACGTTGTCAGTGATATGTTGATGGTAACGTTTTCAGTGATTTGGTGAATGTAACGTTGTCAGTGATATGGTGAATGTAACGTTGTCAGTGATAGGATGAATATAACGTTGTCAGTTATATGGTGAATGTAACGTTGTCAGTGATATGGTGAATGTAACGTTGTCAGTGATATGGTGAATGTAACGTTGTCAGTGTTATGGTGAATGTAACGTTGTCAGTGATATGTTGAATATAACGGTGTCAGTGATATGTTGATGGTAACGTTGTCAGTGATATGGTGAATGTAACGTTGTCAGTCACGTGGTGAATTTAACGTTGTCAGTGATGTGGTGAATGTAGCATTGTCGGTGATGTGGTGGATGTAACATTGTTAGTGATATGGTGAATGTAACGTTGTCAGTGATATGGTGAATGTAACGTTGTCAGTGATGTGGTGAATCTTACATCGTCAGTGATATGGTGAATGTAACGTTGTCAGTGATATGGTGAATGTAACGTTGTCAGTGATGTGGTTAATGTAACGTTGTCAGTGATATGGTGAATGTAACGTTGTCAGTGATATGGTGAATGTGACGTTGTCAGTGATAGGGTGAATGTAACGTTGTCAGTTATATGGTGAATGTAACGTTGTCAGTGATATGGTGAATGTAACATTGTCAGTGATATGGTGAATATAACGTTGTCAGTGTTATGGTGAATGTAACGTTGTCAGTGATATGTTGAATATAACGGTGTCAGTGATATGGTGAATGTAACGTTGTCAGTGATATGGTGAAAGTAACGTTGTCAGTTATATGGTGAATGTAACGTTGTCAGTGATGTGGTTAATGTAACATTGTCAGTGATATGGTGAATGTAACGTTGTCAGTGATATGGTGAAAGTAACGTTGTCAGTGATATGGTGAATGTAACGTTGTCAGTGATATGTTGATGGTAACGTTGTCAGTGATATGGTGAATGTAACGTTGTCAGTGATATGTTGATGGTAACGTTGTCAGTGATATGGTGAATGTAACGTTGTCAGTGATATGGTGAATGTAGCATTGTCGGTGATTTGATGAATGTAGCGTTGTCAGTGATAGGGTGAATGTAACGTTGTCAGTGATATGTTGATGGTAACGTTGTCAGTGATATGGTGAATGTAACGTTGTTAGTGATATGGTTAATGTAGCATTGTCGGTGATGTGGTGAATGTAGCGTTGTCAGTGATAGGGTGAATGTAACGTTGTCAGTGATATGGTGAATGTAACGTTGTCAGTGATGTGGTTAATGTAACGTTGTCAGTGATATGGTGAATGTAACGTTGTCAGTGATATGGTGAAAGTAACGTTGTCAGTGATATGGTGAATGTAACGTTGTCAGTGGTGTGGTGAATGTAACGTTGTCAGTGATATGGTGAATGTAACGTTGTCAGTGATATGTTGAATGTAACGTTGTCAGTGATATGGTGAATGTAGCATTGTCGGTGATTTGGTGAATGTAGCGTTGTCAGTGATAGGGTGAATGTAACGTTGTCAGTGATAGGGTGAATGTAATCAGTGATAGGGTGAATGTAACGTTGTCAGTGATATGGTGAATGTAACGTTGTCAGTGATATAGTGAATGTAACGTTGTCAGTGATATGGTGAATGTAACGTTGTCAGTGATATGGTGAATGTAACGTTGTCAGTGATATGGTGAATGTAACGTTGTCAGTGATGTGGTGAATGTAACGTTGTCAGTGATATGGTGAATGTAACGTTGTCAGTGATATGTTGATGGTAACGTTGTCAGTGATATGGTGTAACGTTGTCAGTGATGGTGAATGATATGTGAATGTTGTCAGTGATATGGTGAATGTAGCGTTGTCAGTGATAGGTTGAATGTAACGTTGTCAGTGATATATGTGAATGTAACGTTGTCAGTGATATGGTGAATGTAACGTTGTCAGTGATATGGTGAATGTAACGTTGTCAGTGATATGGTGAATGTAACGTTGTCAGTGATATGGTGAATGTAACGTTGTCAGTGATATGGTGAATGTAACGTTGTCAGTGATATGGTGAATGTAACGTTGTCAGTGATATGGTGAATGTAACGTTGTCAGTGATATGGTGAATGTTACGTTGTCAGTGATATGGTAAATGTAACGTTGTCAGTGATATGGTGAATGTAACGTTGTCAGTGTTATGGTGAATGTAACTTTGTCAGTGAGGCTGACGATGTTGGTAAGTGGATTGTTTGGTCAAAGCTGATTATTTACAGGCACTTTATTGATAGAACATTGCTGAGTGCGGCGTGAAACAACAAACAAGCACCCAACTGACACAAGTATGGCGCCTGATGCTCATCCTGCCATACTTAGGAGCTGATATTGATATAGTTACGTGGAAACTGAGCTTGGCATAGTGACTTTGTAACTGATATTGATATAGTGCCGTTGTAACTGAGCTTGGTATTTTGACTTTGTAACTGATACCGATGAAGTGACATTGTAACTGAGCTTGGCATAGTGACTTTGTAGATGACACCGATGAAGTGACATTGTAGCTGAGCTTGGCATAGTGACTTTGTCGATGATACCGATGAAGTGACATTGTAGCTGAGCTTGGCATAGAGACATTGTAGCTGAGATTGGTATTGTGACTTTGTAACTGATATTGATTTAGTGACGTTGTAGATAATACCGATGAAGTGACATTGTAGCTGTGCTTGGCATAGTGACTTTGTAGATGATATTGGCAGGGTTACTGAGTTGCTGCCGTTGGTAAATTGACTATGAGATTGACAGAGATCTTGTGACTGGAGGCGACTGGACTGTCGTGACTCTGGAGAAAATATTCGTATACTGACTAATAGGCTGACAGTGATGTAGTGACTGTGAACGGACATCAGAGAACCGATCGTGGATCTGACATTGCTATTGTGTTGTTAAAACATGTAAAGTGCAGTTCGTCCCTTCTCAGACGTTGCTGCACTTCAGGCTCTAGCTGCTAATCCTGTTACATCAGATAACTGCTAAACACGGGTGCTGACAGGATTTCAATGTGAGCTGATAAATGGCAAGTTAAATTCATCCCCGAGAAAACCATACAATTCTCATACAAAAATAAACCTGGTGGAAAAACCTTCTATAGAAACGAAACAAGCTAAACTACAAGGCGCTACGCAAACAGCTTCGATAGATGTTCTTTGCGCTCATACAGAATCTGTGGCAGGCAAATGGTAAAAGGTTACAGAAGCCCACACTGATGGCTTTTATGGGAAACTTTAACGGCTAATTACACATCGTACATTTATTTCTTAAACTGTTACTGTAGCTAACTTGTAGGCGATGAATGAACAAAGTGCCAGATGTCAATGTATGACAAGTGCATCCTTATATCATTTTACGTTGTGTGGGAACACCTTCAAGCTAGTACTCGGGAGAATTAATCCAGTATCAATAAGTAAGATTGATTATGCTGCAATTAAACAAATGTAATGAAATTACAGAATATTTGAGACATTTCACTTACTTTGCAGCGTTTGGGTGTAATGTCTTGTTGTAGTCGGGAACATGTTTGAGTCAATTTCGGAATGAATGTACACATGAGGTCATTCGTGAAGTGATGAGTCTAGTTTAATTAGTACTAATCACTCGCTGCGGTAGTAAAGGAAACACTGCATTGTCATAGACAAATTGCATAGTCATATGTTGTGTAGTCAATTGTTGTGATTTGTATAAAGGACACTCCATATCAATTATATTCTTTTTTATCTTTGTCATATCCACACAGTCACATGCTGTGCTTTGTGTTAATGACAATTCTCATTAATTTGAATGTTTGTTCTTTTATCATCGCAATATTTACACAGTTACATGTTGTGAATTGTGCACATGACACTCGTGTTAATTTGTCTGTTGGTTGTTTTATTTACAGAACCATAAGATGTAATTCGTGTAAATGACACTTCATATTAATTTGCTTGTTGTTTTAGACCATTAAGCAATATTCCACTTTGGAAAGGAAAACCTGTGTTTAAAATTATGAACAACCTCTCGCTGCTCGAGCAGGATAGCAGGAGAGTCGCTGATCAGAACCACCCGGTCTATTTCCGACGTCTCTCTGGACACGCGTACTGGTCACAAATATTCCCTGACTGGATGATATCATTATTATTACATCAATTGTATGTCTTCATTTGTATGTGTCTTCCTTGTTGTTCAACAGAAGCGGTGTTTCCATAAATCACATGTGACCTGTCTGCCAGATCAATTAGTTCCAACAGAGCGATAAATGAGTATATCTAAAACACATTGGTATTGTGACTGTCGGGCGCACTTTGGTACTGTCTAGAGCTGTGGGCCTTTTCTCCGATCAATGTACCGTCCACTGACACTCCCTCCTGTTTGTATACGTAATTCGTATTAGACTGATCAGTAATCAATAGGCAGATTGAAATGAGGGACTATTTGGTGCTTTACTCTGTATAATCACTGGCAGTGCCCAGGCTGATATTTACAGTACCTATGTTCGGTATTTCTAGAATGTCTTGGAGAGACTGGGTGGGTGGCAAGGCGGTAGAGCGATCTTAAAGATGGAAGAGGTTTCGATTCAGAGCACTGCTACTGGCCTATGTAAGAACAGGCTTGACAAGAATTTGCTTGCCTCTAAAACGCCATGGTTTTGTAAGGAAGCATTGACACTGAGAAGGTTCACGCTGGGAATTCAACATATCTGACTTTGTACAACTGTAGACTTCTCATACTAATAAACTATCTTTTTAACACAGGAATAATTTTTGGATATAACGGGCATTAGTAAAAGCATTAAGCTGTTATTGAGCATGAATTGTTGAGGGATAAGCAATGTATTGTATCTGTGCGCTTTTGGGCTACGATCTGTGTCACATCTTCTGTAGATGTTAATTTCTCATGACATATGCACTTTAAATGAGGTGTTTGTATGACAAATTATATTGAAAACATTTTAATGTGAGGTTCACATGATATACGGCCTTTACACTGGGCGCGTTATCAGCTACCTCACTTCCAAATTGTTTATATGAGTAGAGACGATACTGTTTGAGGTTCATACGTTTTTCACGAGACTCAATTCATGAAATGGCGTAAACACTGACTACAAATACAAAACTGCTGGACCGTTCACGAATATTCTCACAGAGACCCATCTAAGTGAACAAAATGAAGAAACACACATCGAGACTATTCTGATACCGTCACCAGCTGTGTCTAGACTGACAATGGCAGTCTTCATCAATCTCTGCATATAACAGGATATCGACAATACTTGACACTTCTCCACATCGCCTTTCAATGATTAGCTACTTGGAACTGTCACAGGTTCATAATCAACTTTGGAAATCTTTCCCGTCACGTTTATTGTCATTTTCACCTCTTGTATTTAATACAAATGTATTATGACGCCTTAGGGTGAGTGAGGTATTGATATCGCTCTTAATACCCCTTCACGCTTGAGGCGGAATGAGCCGGAATGCCGTCGGAATGAAAATTCCTGGCGATTCCTGGAAATTCGAACTGCATTCTAAAACTTCTTAATCCATTCCAAATGCATTCCAACTATTCGTGTCAAATCTTGTAACATGCCCGAATGTTTTGAACATGTTCACAACTTTCGAGGTACATTCGAAGTGGAAAAATATGGAACAACATTTGAAGTGCATTCTAACTGCATTCTAAGTATTCTTACTGTATTCTAACTGCATTCTAAGTAATCTGAACGTATTCGAGGGAGAATCGAAAAGGCAAGCCATTTCAAATCCTGCAAGAGTGTCCCGAATGCGCCTCGAATGTACTTTGATTGCTAATGGAATTTAGGTGGAATATTCTTCAAACGTATCGGAATATTTCGATTGCACTTGGAATACACCTCGAATGTACATCGAATACACCTCGAATACAGTCAGAACGTCCCGAATACTCTTCAAATGAGCCCTGACGTCATCAGAACACCGCCGAATGGCATATAAACGTAGCCACCTGTCACTGAAGCTTCAGATATCATTCACATCTTCCAGTTGCGCAAGTTGTCTCCAGCTTCCTGCCACCACGTTGTGCTGCTCATCTTCCTCATCCACCATGCCATTGTTGAGATTAGGATAACGAATCCTCATCAAGTTGTGCAGGCAGACACAGCATTCAATGATGTCCTTTACAACGGAATCCCTTGGCAGCATGGTGGTGAGGAGGATTTGCCAACTCTGGGCCATGATTCCAAATGCATTTTCCACTACCCGTCGACCCCTGCTGATCCTGTAGTTGTAGATTCTCTCGTCTCTCTTGAGAGTCCTATGACCATACGGTTTCATCAAGAAGGCCCTTATTCCAAAGGCATCATCTCCAATAATAAAGCATGGCATACACTCGTCATCTTGGGGTAAAGGGAACGGATCATGAAGGCATGTGCTTCCGTCTTCAAGACAATCCTTGGGCTCGCACTCGTTGAAGATCTAAGGATCAGACATACTTCCGTATGCACCAACGTCCACCCACAGGAACTTATAATTTCCATCCACAAGGGCCATGAGGACCACTGAGAAGAAGCCCTTGTGGTACAATGAGCCGCTCTTGGCAGGTTTATTTATGGCCACACGTTTGCCATCTAAAGCTCCTACGGCATGAGGAATATTCCACCTGTTTCTGAATACCTCCTCAGTGGATGCCCATTCTTCTGGAGTGGAAGGGCAGATGATAACTTCATCCTTGTATTCTTCCACAATGACCTTACATACTTCTGGGATGATCAGGCTGATTGTGTTCCTTGCCACACGGAAGCTGTACGTGATGCTGGGGTACCTATCACCTGAATCAAGGAACCTCAATGTGATGGCTAGCTTTAAGTCTGGAGGTAGCGCCTTTCTCATATATGTATCCTGCTTCTGTATTCTTGGTCCCACAATCTCCACCAACTCATCAAACATGGCAGGCTCCATCCAGAGGTAGTTGAAGAATGACTGCGTGTCCTCAACTCTGAGCTCCTCCATCGGTCTTGTGTAACGTCCATACAGCCTCCTCCTTTCCTCTGTTAGCCATGGTCTGGTCTTGAATCTCCTGGGTCTTCTCCTGGATTTTTCCTGTTTCTTCTCCTGGTCTCCTCCACATCACTTTCAATCAGGGCTTGCTGGAGGACAGCAATCTGGAGCAACGCAACATGGTCCAGGTGGTCCATAATCTATGGGAGTGGGGCAGTGACTGATAAATAGTCCAGATTCAACAGGTTTTTATACCCCATCGTGGATCATTCCGGCAGCATTATTGATGCATTTCGGACATTCGTGTTACATTCTAAGTGCATTTGAAGGACATTTGAAATATTCGGGCTGCATTCTGTTTTAATTCTTTAACATTCGATCCATATTCGGGGGTCATTCCAAGACGGTTCTGCTTGCACTCTATCATTCCAAGACGGTTCTGCATGCATTCTATGTATATTCGTACAGCATTCGAGGTACGTTCTAACTGAAATTCGAGTGCTATTCACGCAGCAGTCAAACCGGACTCGTACGTCAGCCGAAATTCATTTTAAGTATTCTTAGTGTATTCTAACGGCATTCTAATTAGTCCCACTGTATTCCTAGTATTCATTCGAGCTGCATTCGTGATCTAGTACATTTGGAATGCGTAAGAATCATTCGAGGCGGGTTCGAAGTGCGTTCTAAGTATTCCAACAGCGTTCTTACAAAGTTTATTTTGACATTCTCTCCCGAATGCGGTTCGAATTTTGGGAAAACAAATTTCTGGCTGATTCTCCTTGATTCCTGTCAATTCGAAGTAAGTGTGAAGGACCCTTAAACACACCTTTCTTATCCGATGATTTATATCCAGTTTAAAAGCTAAAAAAAGATGTTACTGTTGGAGTAATTGAACACGCAGACGCTCATGTGACACCACCTGTTTGAGGAGCTACCTTATTCCCATCTGGTTGTGATATGGCTGTAAATGTCGACAGGAAGTCACGTGTACTAACATGGGTATAGATCTACCTTCGAGGCATAGAACATCGATAGAAAAATTATAGCCATCAGATTCATTACATTAATTCAAATTTTTTATACTAATTACAATCCACATCAACCTGGACAGTTCTGGGTGCATTAGGTAATCGTACTGACTAACGGTGTCCTGGCTTTTGAGAGCGTGAGAGCATGCCCGCTGTTTCCTGTGTTTGTTTGTTTGTGTTTATCCCACCAGCAATATTCCACACACAGGAAAGTGGTCTGGGCCAGACAAATGGTGTCTCACAAGGAGGGGCGATCTGTACAACTGGGATACGATGACATGAATGTCCGTTTGTATTTTGCTGGTAGTCGCCAAGTAAGACAAAGAGTCCAACTTATGGGATCCTTGTTAACGAGGTTTCGCGGTTGGTATGACCCGTGTTGTACCTTGTATGAGCTTCATTGGTAGATACGAGGAGATTCTTTTGAAATGTTACTGAACGATGACCAAAATGATTTCCATGAAATTCCCCAGTTCGACTTGCACCATGTGTTCGCATGTTAGTTTAAGGGAACATTTGATCTGTTCTTGCAGTGCAGGATACCATCATCTGTTACCAAGTATCATTGTTGCTTCAGAGTGATTTATGAACACATTCTCAGGATACTCGGAGTCGTACAATGGTGTCTGTTTTTAGCGGATATTTCACATCATGATGGACTCAACCCAACAAAAGTTCTAGAATCTGTAGTTTACTAAGAAAGTGTAATCCCAAATATAACATATGTTACGGTTTTGTCACTGTTATTTGCGGACGAGTTGTTAAGTATTACTGCTACACAAAAATGCAAGTACCGATTATGATTTGCCATTTCCAACGTTTCAGGGAGTTATTTCCACATGTTGCAAAGATTCTGGCCTCCTTTCTCCCACCCCTACTCAACATCATGTTGTAATGTCATGTGGAAATGGCTTTTACTTTCAATCAGACATCACGGTCCTCTGTTTCAAGGAGGGTACAAAAGTGAAGCTATTTTCACTAATCGATCCCTATGTCAGTTTCCTTGTACAAATCCTATTTGAAGCTCCTTGGATTTTGAATGCTGGCAATTTAGTCAAAATTGACTGTAAATATTTACCAAGATGTGAAGTATTCCATTATGCTAGTGCCGTTAGAGTGATACAATAGCGCGTGCACTTCACGTCAATCACAGCCTGACAGGAGGGATGTAACGGTATTGAAGAGCGCTCGTCTTCTGACTCCGTGGCGGTGATAAGACCGTCGGGCTCTAGAGGGACAATTACTGACTTTTCCCCGCGTCAGAGTTCTGCCGAATGATGTACGCGCTTTGAATAGCAGATTGAGATACAGTCGACAACGTCTTTAATCTCACCAATCTCCCTGACACAGATCCAATAACAGTACTACTATTACCTACCATCTTCCAGTTACACTCGCGAGACAATGCTCTGCGGGCCAGCTTGACATTCATGTTGGATCATATAACAGTGGCATTTCACGTTCTGAAATGTTCCATGATGGGAATCAGGCTGTACGTTACGACAAAGGATATGACAACGTACTGCAATATTTCACGCGCTTTAGTTAACAATGTAGGATCAAACTGTGTCCTCCTATGTTTAGTCTCTCAGTAGTTAATGATGGGTAAAATGATTTCTTCTTTACACAGTTAATTGTTTGGAAGGATCGTTTTCTCTTGTGTCTACACGAGGTAATGTTACAATAAGATGTCTTCTAAAGGGTTTTATTTCAGTCGTTAAAATCAGCGAGCATGCACATCACATTTCAAGCCACATGAACCTACCTGACGAGGATGTCTTCCAATACCACCTCATATTAGATCCACTTCATTTGCATTTATAGCCACGGACTTATCTCATCTAAGTGGGTGACATGTGTATTTTGTTTCCAAGAAGACTTTGATAAAATGTTTATGTTGAGACTTACCTGGTTTGAGATCAGATTGTCTTTTTATTCATGTTTCAGATAAGATTGCCTTTCACATTAGAACCGTGCAACGTTCTAGGAAACCCTCCTCCATATGATTTGTTTTCTGTGTTGTTTAACGCCGTACCCAGCAATGTTCCAGCTATATGGCTGTCCTCCATATGAACTTGTATCGCACGTGTTTTTCCTTCATACCTTTATCACACTAGGTTGGTTTATTTGTTTTGTTTAGTTGGGTTTGCTTTTTGTAAATGTTTCTTCTTTTTTGTTTTGTTTTGTTGGTTGTTTTTCTTTTGTTTGTTGTTGTTGTTTTGTTTGGTTTTTTTTATTGGTTTTTTTATTTTTGTTGTTGTTTTTGCATATATACAAAAGTACAAGATACAATGTTATCTGCTAAGCATATAAGTGTATGTAGGATTTTAAATATGAATATATAAGAACAGTTGTTGATGTGGATAATTGGATACAACAAAGATACCCTTTTTATGTTTCTTTATGCACGAATTTAATTGGAAAAGACAGAATACTGCGTACTTTTTCGTTTGTCATGATGTTACTTAGTGAATTGTTATTTCGGCCTGGAAATCCTAACAGTATATTTTCTATTGTGAATTCTGTTTTGTCCTCAGATACAGTTTTAAGCAATAAAGTAAGTTTTCTCCATAGTTATTTAACATTGTTCCCTTTGTGTATCTTCGATCCATTAGATATAGATTTTCTAACATGTTGGGTCTTATGTTTATTTTATACTCTTTCCAACTTTCACTCGAACTTATATTGGGTTATATTAAATGACATTATCGGTGTTACCAGGACTGTAAGAAAGGCAGAAATATTTCTGGCGTTTTTCTTCTAACACCTTATAACTCTTGTAATACTTCATGTGTATAAATTGTGCCTGAAGCAGGTTTTAACAGGTCATTTACATAACTTATTAAGGTTGAAACCCGTTTTTAAAAGAACTCAGGTTTATTACCAATTTTATACATTTCATTTAAGTGATTTAGTGAGTAAGTTCTATCAAGGTTAAAATAATACTTTTTCATTTCTGTTGCCATAACCTTGATCACATCTTTCCAAAGGTTATTTCTAACATGATAATTTCGTTGTAAATGTAGTCAAGATTTGGTATCCATATTATGTTGTGATATTGAATGCATTTTTGGACTAATATGTGTATAAATTGTGCCTGAAGCAGGTTTTAACAGGTCATTTACATAACTTATTAAGGTTGAAACCCGTTTTTAAAAGAACTCAGGTTTATTACCAATTTTATACATTTCATTTAAGTGATTTAGTGAGTAAGTTCTATCGAGGTTAAAATAATACTTTTTCATTTCTGTTGCCATAACCTTGATCACATCTTTCCAAAGGTTATTTCTAACATGATAATTTCGTTGTAAATGTAGTCAAGATTTGGTATCCATATTATGTTGTGATATTGAATGCATTTTTGGACTAATAGTTTAAATTGTTAGTTATCTTCAGTAGTCCTCTAACCAAAGTTAATTTTTTGTGCAGTCTTGTAGTAGAGGTACACTTATTCCACTATGCGTAGGTCGCACATACATTTGATTTACCTCCCATTTGATTTTGTCTGGTTTACCCTTCCAAATAAAGTTAACACATTTCTTCTAAAAACCTCATGATTTCACCAGGGGATATTGGGGCAAAAATATTTTAGGAGTAAGAATGATTTCAAACCGTATTTCTCTCTATTGGTGTTAAGGTCCCTGCAAGCCATACATTCATTTCAATTTCAATCTATTTTTTTTATGTTGTTGTATTAGTTTAATTCAACCATCTTATCTTTCTTTCCTGAAATTGAATGTCTTACAATTTAGAATTAGTCTGATTAGACTCCAGATTTCAATCTTTGCATAACTTTCTATCTAGATCTTTTTAGAACCTAAACCTCTTCAGCATTTACTTTCAAGCACTTGCACAAAATGAATGAAATGTTCAGCATTGCATACATGCTGCTCTCTGTGCCATATCAAAATAAGGTAGTAT